AAAGGAAACTTGATATGGGAAACAAAGTGGTCCTAGTATTGGTAGGACCATGGCTGTGGTTCCTATGCTGGAAAAGTTCAACATATTTCAGGAACAACGTCAGAGACCTCTTCATAAAAGAATGCGCTGGAAATAGTTAAGATGTCACGGGCCTCCTGTAAAACTCAAGTCTGAGGAGGATACACCTATACCGCTTATAGGTGGTAAAAAGGGATTTTTTCTATCACTTAATTAATGCAAATGCCAAAGCTGGCATATACTTTTCCTTTTAATAGCTCTCACCATTACCGGTTAGGCTGGCTCTGCTGGCTACAAGGATAAGACGACTCCAAGCTGCTTGATCTACTGCTTGAAGCCATTCCTTTTTCCATCATCTAAGTATATATCGCTGGTCTACCTATATATTCAAAATCTTTCTTGAGTGTGTCAATCCAGGTTTTGATTGGCCCTCCTCGCTTTTGACGTCAACTATCACAGGGTTCGGCAAATAGCAAAATATGCATCAATTCCTGTGGTGGACGACGGAGAACGTGCCCTAACCAGCAAAGGCAACGCTCTGTGATAATATTACTAATACAGATGGTATTTGAGCGAAGGTGGATACAATCATTTTATCCGCTCGACGGATCCATAAAATGTCTATTAGACATGTTTGGTCAAAGGCTAATAGTTTCTTATATCTTCCACTCTCATTGGCCATGTTTCGCAGCCATATAGCAAGAACGAACGAATTGCAACTATATGATTTTCGTCATGGTGATTTTGTGACGGTTCCATAAAGATTGCATCAACTGGAAAAACAGTCGTTATCCGGCTTAAAATTTCATCCCTTGCCTGGCCATTTGGAATCAGAGTGGACCCAATATATTCATAGTCGAGCACTTCTTCAATTGGCAACGAATTGATAAAAATAGGTATTTTATCAGCATCTGGCATACGCAGTGAATAATGATGCGTAAATTTCCAATTCACCCAATTGATAAAGATTTTATAAGTATTTCTACTTAATCTCAAAAATCTTTTTCTTTAAAAAGCACTGCAACATGCAATTTTCTTTATTTTCTTTATATCACTTTTATTCAATTATTGTTTAGGTGAGCTGAGTGTTTTCAGAGTTGTTTTTTTCGTTGAAAGTTTTAAAAAAATTTCAGATATTTCATTTTTTGTCTCATTTTACAGTTTATTTGCCGATAGGTAACAAATGCTTATTTTTTTTGAGATTCCTCTTCTAGCAATATTAGCAACTGCCTTTGTTTGACTGGGTCTACAGGCTATTAGGAGATTCATGGTACACAGATTTCACTTTCAATAAGAACCAAAATTTTCTGGTATTTTTTATTTAATATTCAATATTTTTTAATATTTAATATTTAATATAATTTAATATTTAATATTTTTAATATTAATATTTAATATTTTATATTTAATATTTTTGGCAAATAATACTTCAATAGATTAGATTAGTAGAAAAATCTTTTGTGGACATAAGCACTCCAAGGACGACAATATTGCCCTATAATGGACTACTGCATCGCAGAATTGCAGTGGCAATTAAAAAGCCATTAAAGCGACAGCAAACTACGCAACACTCAGAACTGATCGCCAATAAATCAACGAGCAGGAAAAAGCATAAAATTTGTGTTGAGCACTGTTTATTTTTAACTTTATTATTCAGGTGTAATAATTATAATTGAGAAACGAATAGTATTATAGAAAAACTAAATTTTAGTTAAACTTTAAATCTATAGTGAAGGAGAGGGAATGGTGACTCAGGGAAAGATCGAATCTATAGTTTACTAATTCGCCACTTCTTTCAAATGGCATTTTTTCTAGCGGTGAAAACAAGCAGTTGAGAGGCTTATCAAAATCGCTAAAGTTCAGTGCATTTAATGAGCTGCCATAGTTTGCGATTGCTCGTTTTGAGGACCACTTGTTTTTAAGCAATTAATAGTAATAACACATATATTAATACATAGATTTTGAATTTGTTAAGAATGAAATATGATATGATATGTATTTTTATGTACTTGATATATAAATGTGATAGTTGTGAGATGAAAACGCTCTCAGAAAAAATGAATACAAAAGTTCAGAAGTTCAGTTTGTTTTGTCAACGCCATTTCACTTCTCGTTTCATATCAGCGATGATGAAAATGAAAATGATAGCAAATTAACCCAAATTAATCAATTATATCAATTAACCAATCAATCAACTCACTTAACAACTTAATTATTTAAAGAATCGCCGAACAATTTCCAAATTGCATATTTGCCAAAATAGTGAAGATAAACATGTTGAAGAATGCAAATTTCCGCACTATCTTGCCGAGAAGCCAATTTGATAGCAAATGCCGAAATATCGTTTTAAACTTATGGATTGCAAAAAATCAACAAATATCATTTAGTAGTTTTTTAGCAATTTCAGCATTATTGCAATAATATTTATTATGGGCAAATCAGATCAACAAGCGAATAATGAAAATGTAACGAAAAAAGGTAGCTCCTCAATATAAATCTATTCTCCATCCTTTCCAGCTAAAAAAGCATCGAAATCAATCGTTCGTTCGTTGTACCTCAAATTTGGGTAATTAAACCTTTATTAGCAACGACGCAAATATATAAAGGAAGTAAAACAAAATCATATATTATAAAATCATAACCATACGAAGGAAAATCATATATTGCGTAAAACCGAAATGCAAATAATACAAATATCCAATTCACCCATCGTCAAATATGCTTTCCATGTTACTGCTCTACTGGTCCCGGAATAAATCGATTCGTGTTTTTTGAAATCAATCAATCACAGAAAATAATGAGCTGAATTGAAAGTCTTAATGATTGAAATTCCCACAATGAAGATCAGAATTGCAAATCTCTTATTTATATAAAAATTGTAAATATAATCGTTAATACAATTTTTGATTTTTTGATTTTCTTATAACTAAATTCATTGGATCTCATGGATTCTGATAGATAAGCGTCAAGAAATCCCACACGAAACATAAATAATTTATAAATTAATCAATCGTCAATAAATTATCCGTTTATCCAGAAATATTGAAGTGCGACATTGATTTGAATATAATATATCGAATATATAAATTGATGAAATGCAGTTTATGATAGAAATTCGGTGAAAATTAATGCGTATATTTACAATTTATGGATATTTAATAATTCTATTGTCTTAATTCATTGCACTGCATATAATTATTAATTGACCGAAATTAACATTCAAAAAAATGATGATGACCTTTGGCATTTTATAAATTTATAACTTTGTATTTACAATTTATAATTTTATAGTTTGATTACAAGATCTAAAATATCATGCAAATATCCATGATAATTGTTTGGTTGCTGGCAGTGAAAAAATGAGGATATATCGACTTTAGTAGAACGCAGTATTGAACTAGAATGAATGCAATGTTCAAGGCGAGGCACTGTCGTGTCACGTAGGAACATAGAATTTTACTCAGATTCAAACTAATATTTTAAATGAAGTTTAAGTTTAGCAAAGTATAAAAAAAAGGCACATGCAATGCATTTTTTGCATGTATATTTTTCGATAATTTTGTTAATTTCCTTTCTCTTATGAATTATGTAAGCAATTAAAGGATCTATTCCATCTCAAATAGGGATAAAGAAAGAAAAAAACACTTGAAAAACAAAGGTTAACCAATAAATAACTGTGAAAGAGAATTAAGTTGACAATTCAAGGTTTTTATCCTCATTTTATAAAAAATATTACCATAAATATTACGATTTTGCTATAAACATAAAAATTAATTTTCAAAACCTTCTCGATATTCCGTTTCGCAATCGATGAAATTGTTGATTCAGCTAAAAGTGGTCTCAAATAAACGGGAAAAATTATATACAAACATTGAAAAATTAGATTTGGAATTTCTCAATTACCATCTTCCACGAAATCGTTTTAAAGTGCAGTCGGAGGAAATTACTCAAAAATTTTTGCAATAGCATAACAGAGGTGATACACGTTAAATATATTCTGCAAACGTTGAACAGTTTAGATTGTTTGCTTACATGCTAGAACGTCGTCTCCTCTATTTCTGCACCAATCGGTAACCGTAAAATTTTTTTAAACATTTTTTTCATTTTCATTTTTCATTTAAAACATATTTTCGAACAAATTCATTTATAAACAAATTATAAATATTTTCTTCAATAAGCTTTAAAAATATTGATAAATTATAATGGAATAAAGAATAATCTATTTTATGATAATGCAGTATTTTGCCAATTTTCTCTAACGTAAATATGAAACTCCTGAGATTCTCTCGGATTTCTGAATAAATGAATATTCCATCTTTTTTTGAAACTTTATAATTTTCGCTTTTCGAAATTTCATTTAGAATTTCGACAAAATCGCAATTTTGGCAATGAAAGTAAAATAATAGAGATCAGAAAAATCAGAATTAAAAAATGGAAATTTAAATTCAAACATAACCAGCAAGAAATTTTCGCCGTGCAAATTCATAAAAACGTTTTTAAAACTTACTTACTATTATTACCTATATTATATATATATATATTTCTTTGCTAGTAATTATGAAAAATCTATGAAAAGAAGCAAAGTAGAAGTAAAAATCTCACATAAAAAATTTTTTGATGAGAACAAAGCAATGTCTTCTGAAAAGAATTTATGCATTCATCCCATCGTCTCGAAAAACCGATTATCAAAATATAGTCAACAGACTACTTTATATTTCGGCAGTGAAAGACGAGAATTTTTTCTAAAAATGTTAACAAAAATAAAAAGACAAAAATAAACGAAAGTCTGTTACCCTCAGCTACGGTCAGCGAATATTGATAATTTTATAAAAAGGAAAATTACGGAGACGACAGACGATGGATCTAAATGTGGGTTAATATGATAAAAAAAAGATGGGGCTATGCACAAAAAAAAATCATCATATTGAAAGTGAGAGTACGGATAAACATCCTGAATTAATCAGGAAGTGAACGCGACAATTTTAACAATTGCACTGTTGGTTAGGCGGCTTTTGTGTCGTCGTTGCATCTAGACGATGACCTTTCGGATGCCCGGCTTGAGGATCAGAATCTAGCGATTCAGCCATTTTATCGCAAATTATTTCGACGAGCTTTTCGAAAACAGCTTTTACATTAATATTTTCTTTCGCAGAAGTTTCGAAAAATTGTAATCCTGCAATTCAAATCCCTTTTTTAGAAAAACTTGCAAAAATATTTATTTTATAGGCAATGATTCTATAGTAATCGTTCGTGGTTAAAGTGCGATTAAGGGAAAGAAAGCTTCTTTGCGGCGAATCATTTAAGGAAAAATCTTGGTTTCCCACGATTTTTCTAATAAAATATATGATAAATAGAGAACAGCCTGGCATATGGTTATTTGGAACTTTCAATAGAATATTTATTTTTATATATATATTATTTTATATATTATATTTTTATATATATTATATTTTATATATATATATATATTATTTTTCAAGATAATAAATTGCATGCATTCCATCATTTAATTTTTTGATCACGTTTTCTTAAGCCTTCGGCAAGTGCATATTAGTCCGACTAAGGCCAATTTCCCTTATAAAATATATATAAGGGAAATTGTCATGGACTCTTTTTCGACTCTCATCCAATAACTGATAGAACTATTAATAAAAGTGGTGATTTTAATGGTTTTGTGGACCGACTGAACCCCTGTCCCAACCAACTCTACAGCGAAGACTTCCTATATCAGCAGTGATGACAGAAATATTGTGTGCTGACCAAAGAAATATAAATATTAACTGCACACCGATGCTTTTAAATCTATTGTTTAGTGAATTCTATATTTTTGTTCTATTGTTGTAAAATTTTTTAAACCAAGTTGATCAGCCAACTGCCGCCCTCTTTCAAATGAAACAACGCGCTCATCGTCCATATCACATTTATTTCCAACCAGAACCACTTGAGCATTTTCCCAAGAATAAGTTTTAATTTGTGTGCACCTAAAGATATTTCAAAGTTTTAAAAAAAAAAATTTGCCTTCCCCTAATGAATTGGAAGATTTAATTCATTATTGTTTCTGTTTTGCTAATCAAGCAAGAACAACAATTCTTATTTGCACACTTTTATTTGTCCATCTCTTTTGAATTATTTGGTGTTTTAAAAATTTTGTTAAAAATTCACCAATCCTGAACACTGTTGAATGATTCTTCATTGGTTATATCATACATTAGAATGAAACCCATTGCACCTCTGTAATATGCTGTAGTAATAGTGCGATAGCGTTCTTGACCAGCCGTATCCTAAAATATTTCTTTAAGATAAAATTTATAATATTTTTTATTTGGGCAAAGATAAATAGCTTTTTAGGAAGTTAGGAATGAAAATGGCTAAGTATGGGGATAAGAAATTGCCATTTTTTGAAATAATTTCGATGACGAGTGGTGCGTCGGTGGCTTAGTGGAAGATAAAGATTCGAGGATACTCAGGTTTGAATCCAACCGACTTCACGCTTCACGCTTCGTCTGATCGCGGTTTCATCGAACCACGAAAATGGAGGCGTTAGAAACTCAGTATGTTCTTGATTATTTCGGAGCGCAAAGTTGAACTCCTGGTAGGAATAAACCTGTCCAAAAATTTTCGATAAATTAATTTTCGTATCAGTAATTGCACAAATTTACTAATTGTAGACAACTCTATTTAAAATGATCTTAAATTATCACAAGCATCACGGTTATTTGTAGCAGTAAGCCTGTCATTCCGGATGGTGCCGGAATTCCCTTTTTTCCTCTATTTTCTGATAATCCTCTAGCAAAATGTTCTCATCCACATTCAGTGGAGCAAATATAATCAAAAATAGTGAGTGCTAACCACTTAATTATTTTCCACTTAATTATTTTACCCATTGCTGATAAACAGAGTGATGCAATTAATTTTAAGTGCTTTCGTAAATTTTTAAAAGAAATTTTGATCATTTTGGTCATTTTTATAATGAAATATTAATTAAAAAATTGTAATCAAATACTTTTATCAGAGTTTTCGGGTATCATACATATCATATATTTTTATCATACATTCTTTAAAATATAACGCTATGCCTAATATCAATAGTTCTTAACGTTTTCATTCATCATTCCTGGTCAAAATCATTCCAAGTATCAATCCCTTAGAAAGGGGAGAGAGGGGAAAGAAATACAGGCGAAGCTTGAGTACTACCTAGGTCCGAGATATTCACTGGCACATATTTACAACACATAAATAACTAACCCATATTTGCAGCTTGACTCGTTTATCACCTCTAAAAACAGTTTTCACCTTGAAATCAATACCAACAGTTGAAACGAATGCTGAGGTGAATGAATCATCACAATACCGGAACAGAAATGATGTTTTACCAACTGATGAATTGCCAATAATTAGTAGTTTGAACATATAATCAAAGTTTTGATCTGTACCACCTTGCGCATTAGCTGTAGCACTGGCACTTCCAGTATAGTTCGAAGCCATCTTGAATAAATAATCAACTGGGAAATTTAGGATAATCAGTCCGTATCGTAAGAAAAAGTATAAAAACAGTGATGAAAAAGACAAAGAATCGGCTATGGAATCGTAGCAGTAGAATATTAAACCATGCACTAATTGTTTGAAACATCTCGAAAATTGTGAGAATTGTTAGAATAAATAGAATAAATTTAAAGACTTTTTTAAGTGAAAATTGAACAAAGTATAATCGTTTGGAAAAAAATTCCTTCACTTAATGCCATAAAAACATCGATAATATATATAATATCCCATAAGCGTAAAATTAGATAAATTAGATGGCTCGGAAATCCATTAAATTTATCAATGGCAATTATTATGATTTTATTCTGATGTTTTTCTGGAACAGTTACAACCAGCCGACAAATATTGACAAATATTGAACTCATTTTTATTTTTCACTTTAAATCGATAGATCACATCCGGAAAATACCGAATTCGGAATGGATATTTTTTTTCCTCTTAAGATCAATATTCTAGGTCTATATGGTATCAAAAAGGGTGCAAACGATAAAGATTACGTTAAGATTACGTTAAAAATTACTCTATTCAAGTAAAAACTGTTTTAAATGAAGAAAAAACTTCCATTCCCTACAAATTCAATAGAAATTTATAATAGAATTTGAAAACACAAATACGAATGAAGAGAAATCGGAACAAAAAAAAGATAAGATACCAAGGTTAGCAAAAAGTCGGCACCAACCATTTATACTAAATAACTCTCATTACTAAATTTTTTCTATGGACTGTGGATTATCTCTACAAAAGCTGAAAAAAATAAAGACGGCAAGATAATATGAGATAAGAGAAAATTTTAGCTCGATAATAATAATTCAGTTCAAAAATGAAAAAAAAGGAAGAAAAACAAAAATTTTGGAATATTTTAATAAAATCATGCAATTATTTCTAACATTTCTGGCTTAGCTTTACCGATTAAATTGAGATGAGCCAGAGAACTATTTGACAATAGAAACGATTTCTGATGGGGTTTCTTTTTCATGATAGATTTTTCATTGTTAGAGATAGAAATCAAATCTATAATGCTTGATCTCAGCGTGATGTGCCATTCTGCTAACATATTTTCATTATAAAAGCGCATCATATCGAGGTAAACTTGAAAAAATTGCGCAGCTGGAGATATCTTAAGAATTGGAAGAATTTGACGTTAATTTATCACTTTAACTTTTAGTCAGTCATTATAACCAGGTGGTCCTATACTTCTGTCACCATATAATTCTCTGACAAATTTTTTCTGGTACGAAAACCAATGGAACGAGAAATAATTCTAATCAGAAATGATGAAGGCTCTTAGAAAATCATTGTTAACGATTAAAAAAGCAAATCAACTAAATTAAAAAGAAGGTTTAGAGAAAAAATAAATGCAACGAATTCATCCATAAAAATATATAATGAAATTTTTTTCCGAACGAGTGTTGTCCATTTTATTCGCCTCAAGCAATAGAATTTACTCAGAATGTGCCTTGCAGTCATCATAATAATAGTATTCGTTGAGCTAATCAATATTTTATTCCACATCCAGGCGAAGACGAAACCATAGAATGCAATCGAAATGCTTTAGGGCAATTCTAAAAAATTGATTTTAGTCAAATACTCGGCAATTGCTTGATATGCATCTTTAAAGTTCATTAAAATTTTGGTAATCCACGGAAATCTTTTAATGCCATCAGAATTTTAAACAAACTCTATTGTCCAACAAATATAACCACGGCGATAATATTGTAAGAATAAGTAGAAATTTGGATATATTGAATGAAAATGGACGACTGGAAGGATTTTTTTGGATTTTTTCGGATTCATATGTAAACAAAAATGGAAATATGGCAAATAAAATCTTTAGGCGAATAAATTTTCGAAAGAAACCACAAAGTTTGCATGATATTTGATCAATTATGGCACGTCAGATGGAGCAATGAAGATTGACAATTCACGGTCGCTATTATTGTTCTTGATTTTTATCATTATTACCACTATTATTGTTAATATTATCATTTTCGAATATACAAAAATAAAAAACTTTAAAAAACTTTAACTCGATTACTTTCATCCGAATTTCGCAAATTTGAATAAAATAATTCGAATAAAATTTATGCAAATATTCCAAAAATTTCAACCGATCGTCTGTCTTATTTTTAATTCAATTACAATTTTAAATTTTATAATTTGATTCAAATATTTTATTGTATTCGATACATATTATTTTGAGAAATTTGAAAGGAAATTATCAGTTCTTATCATTTTTCCTTGCAGATTATTTATAATCAGAAAAAGATTTTTAGGAAATATGAAAAACTTTGAATTTTATAAAAAACTGCGAATATAAAAGTGTTTTTAAAAATATGAAAAAAAGTTTAAAAATGAAGTAAATGTATATATCCACTTCGAGAAGTTCAAATAGAAAGATTCAAATTTTATAAAATTCGTTCAATATCCGATATTCTTACGATATTCTTACAATCGAGCAATTAAACTATTCTCAAGAAATGCTTAACAATCATTTTAACAATCATTTACAGATCAGTAGCGATAAAGAAATAAAACGTCGTCGAAAAGAGTACCGCTATGTGGGCAAAGTTCCTTGCAGATTGAAAACAGATAAATTCATGCATATAATGCAAAATGGCAATAATCTAATTTGGTTTGGGTCACTAAGGAAAAAAACGATTGAATCTACTAGTCAAAAATGGACCAAATCCTCTGATTTCAGTTGAAGATAAAAGTACAGTTGGGCATCGCGTGAAAATCACTTCTAACGAGATTTGCTTCCGTCAAATGGCAGGGCGTGTCCATGTTACTTGAGCTCATTGTAAAAGTAACATATCACTTTTTTGAATTGATGCTTCTTTTATTTCACCGAGTCGATACTCCATGGTTCACAAAGAAACAACCAAATAAGGAAGGAAGGAACAAGAAAAAAGGAATTTTTTGAAACTATAAACTATATCATCAAACTATAAGAAAGAGAAAGGAAGAAAAAAATGGAGGGTCGCTATGGATATCACTGGAACGAAAACGTGCCAAAAAGGTAAAGTAATGTAAAGAGCATTTACAATCGAAATTTTCCAAAAATTTACTAAATTCAACTATAGGAAAATGTATATATCACAGTGAAAATTTCTTCTAAAAAATTAAAAATGGAAAAAAGGTGAATAATAAAATTTTGTGAAAAAAACAAAAAATGAATAATCAATGATAATGATAATCAATGCATTGCTCGAAAATGAATGGGATTCCAGATTCAGCTGTTCTTATCCAATATTTATCCAATATTTATTTTCGAATTTCATCTTATTAATATAGGGCCGATAATTTTTCGTTTTTCTCTTTTCTCTTTATTAATAAGATGCAAATTTTAAAGAAATAACCTAAATTCCTATCAATTTAGAATTGAACTTCCATAAATTTTTCATCGCTCTTTATTTACTTGCAAACTGTTCAATCGACTTAAATAACTGTTATCATTGTTATAAATAGAAAATTTATCATAATAAATCGATGATAAATGTATTCAGGAAAGCATTTGTTCTTAATATAAATTGATGAGATCGATGTGAATATAAGAGATGGAAATTAATATTTTGGATCTATACCATCTTATGGAACTTAATTAATTCGATTTTTGGATTAATAAGAGATGCAGTCTCTCATAGAAGGTATTTTAGCAGGTCAGTTAAATATTGGATTTCCAGAACAGCCTTATTTCGACGTGAATATGACAGTCATCTAAAATTACCAATGTACCATAGTAAATTAATTAGGAAACATTTTCAGAAGAAATGAAATTGAAGAAAAGGCTAGCAAAATCGCCGATGAAAGCAAGTGGAGTCATAACGAAAAGCTGCTGCTACCGCAATCCTGGCTCCATCCATGTTTTGTCTTATTCGCTTTTTCATCGATTTCCATTTTCCTTCGTTTCGCTCTCAAACGATGTTTGTTGATTTTCAATGAATCTGCCCTTGTTTTCACTGCTATTACTGCATTTATATATGGAGAAAAAATGCACATTTTGAAAGCTTATTTTCCACATAAAATCCATTTATTTGAACCATTTATCACAAATATTTAAGAAATGTTTGTGGTTTGGTGATCAGCTAATTTCGAAAAGTTTGTTGACTGATAACTTCTCTTCGTTAGATTTCAGTTCATTCATTCTCCCTAATTTATATCGTAAGGGTCCGATAAAATTATATTCATCTGTAATACCTCCAATTTTTGAACGAAAAAATTTTTAAAAATATGCGAAGAATCAAAAAAATTATCTAAATATCCATCTTCTGCCAACAATACATACATTTCTGCTTTGACTAATTATAATTAGAGGACTTTAGCATAGAGCCATGTAAACATAGAAGCATAGCGAGTTCTCAGCAGATTTATTTTCTCCCACGGCCTTCGGAATCATTACCCAATAGTGCCAAATCTCAGACAACGTAACATATCACTCGACTATCTTTCTTCTAAATTGCATTTATCGTTAACTTTGACTTCTACGATTAGAACACTGAAATTATATTCTTTACCAAAGAGCAATTTGAGGTTAATGAAACCAAAAAATTTAAAGAAAAAGAGCTTTAAGAGCTTTAAATTTATGAGATTACCAAAAAATGGACGATTCGAAAATTTAATTCTGCTTAAAAAACAGTAAAACAGCAATAATATTCAATCAATAATCGATTGATGAGAATTTTATCATATCATTTGCGAAACTACGCTAAATTTATTCATTGAATAAAATAATTTAAACAATTTTTTAACAATCAAATATCGACGAAATATGAAAAAATTTTGATTCTGATCGAAATTCAAAACTTAAATCTAAATGCTTCGCAAGAAATTCACCGCAGATTTACTTAAATGTTGCTATGGCAAAGATGTAGGATATATTCCATCCCAATTACGACAAGCCAAGTTTTCTTTTAAGAATACTCGCCACTGCTGGTTAGACTCGC